CTATCTATTTTAATCCCGCTTAAAATCTATTTTAATCGTGATTAAAAATTAACCACTGTTCTGATTGGCTGGAATTTAATCGCGCTTAAAATCTATTTTAATCGTGATTAAAAATTAACCACTGTTCTGATTGGCTGGAATTTAATCGCGCTTAAAATCTATTTTAATCGCGATTAAAAATTAACCACTGTTCTGATTGGCTGGAATTTAATCGCGCTTAAAATCTATTTTTATCACAATTAAAAACCACTGTTCTGATTGGCTGGAATTCAATCGCGCTTAAAATACATTTTAAGCGCGATTAAAATACATTTTAAGCGCGATTAAAATAGGTAGGTTTTGGCGGTAATGGCCTTCCATAGATTCTTGCGGATCGCTAGCGAAGTCAATCGACCTTTTATGAGCCTACGGTCAAGGTAATCGCACGTGCGATGCATTGGCTACGAGTATCCCGTCCATCTTCTTCTTCTTCTCGGGTCACTACACTACACTCGACCTAGCCACTGCAGCCGACAGGACTCCCGTCCATAGACCATGTTCATATTATAATGTCCATTCTGTTCGTGTGGCAGACGACGCCGGAAAATACGTGTCTCCGCAAAAACACGTTTAGACGGGCATTTGTCGAACGATCACGGATTTTGTGAGCAATATTCATGTTGCTAAGCGTGACCACAAAATCTTATTGAATTAATGAAAACACGCGCACGCGCGTACTCACACAGCACACAAGCACCTGCACAAGCATGCAAGCAAGGGCGCGAGGAGGGAAGGACGCGCATGAATAGAATGGCATTCGCTATACTTTGAATATAATTGTAAACCAAGCAGCTCACAACGCGCAATCTGATAATCGCGCCAACTATAGCATTTACTTTTGATTACAGTCACATTTATTTTTAAGTAGGGGGCCTACATTCAATCAAAGAAATGAATCGTTCATACGCCATTAGCGTCGACATGGTGCACTTGTTTGTTGTTGAGCATAGAACGGATCTCCTAAACCGCGATGGCTGACCGTTTGCATTCAGAGCAACGTAACACGGGTAAAGTGAAAAATATTTGCTCGTACACACGTCATGTAGTGAGTGCATGGCGATGGATGGCTTTGGCGCAACTATATATTTACATGTCCCGAGTACACAACCCAAAACTCTTGTCTGCATTGTTACGAAAAGCGAAATATATGGTTTATTCTAGTGACGTTGAGTTGCTTTTTTTCTTACCTTCTTGCTTTTCTCTGATTTTGCGGGAAGTTGTTTACCGTCCCCTGAAAAAATACACAATGACATTATTATATCGCCGGAAATAAACGTCATTTCATTTTCACTAACATTCTTTTCCTCTGAATTACCGAGTTGTGGTAGCTATCTCTAACACAAATCTCCGCCTTAGACACATTTCCCCAATGAAAGGAAAAATGAATGGAAAAACTTTAAACTTCTTAATGGTTTTTACCATGCCATACAATTGTTGTTACATCTTGAATGTAATTAACAAACGATTATCAATGCTGGAATAATGCGATTTTAAGACACTTACGTAGGCCTACGTGGTATATTCCGACCTCGTGATGTGTTTCACTTTTAACGAGACTAGCAGTGTAAACCGGTTATAACTGCCATTTCCTCACGATGTGTGTGATTGTATTTTTTGTTTTTTTCGTGACTTCATTTGTACGTTAATTGTTTCCCTAACGCGCGCATATCATGCTATCAGCAGTGTAATAATATAGATTATTATAATCTATAAACAAAATCTATGTTATTACACTCCTGATGCTATCATGCCCAGAGCACAGATCATGATCGAATCAATCAGATCGCAAACAGATTATGAAAATTTGAATACGCAATCACACGCGCACGCGTACACGCACGCACAGTAAACACACGGACGTGCTTATTTTTCTATGCGCATGTGTGGGGCGAACCTAGCTGCTAGATAAACACACAAGGCGTGTGCCTTCACGATCTCCTATTGTCATCGACTTGGTCTTCCGGATCCCCGCCCCGCATGAACGCGCCGCTATCAGTCTACGGAACGTAGATTAACCAATCCGAGCACGTTGCGGCACCACGTGACCCACTGCCCGGTGGCTAGTCCATCGCCCCGACTCTTACTCTGGTTCTGCTCTAGTTTAGGCCAGGCTACCGACAGACCTTCCTTCATTAGGAACCTACTCGATGTCTCCCCCACTGGCCTGAATATCGGGCAGGCATAAAGCTTCCTCATGTGTGGCCAAAGGCCACCCGATGAGCATTAACTATAATATTTTTATAGTACTCCATTGTATAAACTCCTAATGAACATTCATTATCTGCGAACCGGTAATTGACCATCTTTATCTATGAGCCTATTGATGTTTATGAACCTGCATACGTATATGTTCGTTCCTTATCGACGACCGAGCCTTCAGTGTTCATGAATATTAATTGCAAATTAGCCTTTCGTTGTCTATGAAAATCGTGTTGCTATACTATGATCAGGAGTGTGTAATAATAGATATCATTATTATTCTATTATTATATCTCCGCCTATACCTCCTATTACATCTCCTATTATTATTATATATTCTCTGTTATTATGACACTCTTGGTATATGATGGCCATCATACCGTGGGCGGTTCGTACGATGTCGACGTCGTCGTGAAAGTTCGGGTTGTCGTGGCCATGCTTGCCTACGACGTCGTTTTTACCCTCCTCCACGTCCGCGGACTTCTCTCGCTTGCCGGGGCCTTTCGTGAACGGACATCTTCCTATATAAGAAAGAGAAAATCTAATGACGTTGTTATCCCTAGCATGTGGGAGATACGGAAATATCGAGAATTGAATAGATAGATAGATAGGTAAGTAGGTAGATAGCGACGTAGGTAGGTATGTGGATAGGTAGATAGGTAGGTGGATAGATAGGTAAGTATGTAGGTAGAGATATGTAGGTAGAGGTAGGTAGGTAGGTAGGTAGGTAGGTAGGTAGGTAGGTAGGTAGGTAGGTAGGTAGGTAGGTAGATCGGTAGGTAGGTAGGTAGATTGGTAGGTAGGTAGGTAGCTACGTGGGTGGATAGATAGATAAGTATGTAGGTAGAGGTAAGTAGGTAGATCGGTAGGTAGGTAGGTAGCTAGGTGGGTAGGCATGTGGATAGGTAGGTAGCTAGGTGGATAGGTAGGTAGCTAGGTGGATAGGTCGGTAGGAAGGTGGATAGGTAGGTAGTTAGGTGGGTAGGTGGGGATAGCCAGCCTTAATACGTCCATAAAATGTGACCCTGCACGTGGGCAGTACATTGGCCCGTAGCTGAGTCGCTCGGCTGGTTTTATTGCTTCACCTTCCGTCTAGTCCTTACGTGTGGACGCCTATAGAGAGCCATGGTAACTGCAGTACTCAGTATGCTGCAGCTGCTGCGCCCAGGCTTGCACGCGTAAATTATGGCGAATACATTATGGACATTTTACGAGCCAATTTATGTTATTTTATTTTATAAATTTATTGGGAGATATTCGGTGTTGCATGAACACACGATGTCGATTGAGTTGTCGGTGAAATTCACCATTGGTGTAATGTACAGTCAGGTACCGTATAGATGTACGTGTGGTGCTCCAGCTGTCTGTGAGCATTGTGTCTCTTGTCTGTTGGTGTGTCAGCTGTCTTCATCACCATTTATAACCAAGCGCCCTCACGTACCTCAGACGCTGTATGTCTGATGTCTATCTATAGGTCTCTCTGTATGTCTGATCCCTCCTCTGTGTGTGTGTGTGTGTGTGTGTGTGTGTGCGTGCGTGCGTGCGTGCGTGCGTGTGTGTGTGTGTGTGTGTCGTGTGTGTCGCGCGTGTGTGTGTGTGTGTGTGTGTAGTGTGTGTGTGTGCCGCTTCGTGCGGTGTGTTCGCGCGTGTACCGACTGCCGGGTTTCGCTGTCTCTCCGCGACTGTCGCCCAGCTGCCATCTCCTTCCGCCGCGCTCGCGATCCCCGCTCGTTTCTCCTCCCCTCTCTCTCTCTCTCTCTCTCTCTCTCGTCTCTGCTCTCTCTCCCGCTCTTTCTTTCATTCACTCTCTCTCACGCTCTTTCTTTCATTCTCTCTCTCCCGCGCTCGCTCTCACTCGCTCTCCTCGCCCTCTTTCTCTCGCCGTTTTAACGTACACGCACACTCACCGTTAGTAGCGTAGAACCATATCGCGAACGCGGCTGCACACAGCGCCAGCGTTCCTAGAAATGTACCGAAGAAGACTCCAGCTATTGCTCCCGGTCCGTACGTCTGGGCCGCCGCCACCTCGTGCAGCAGCAGCAGCATCAGTACCAACAGCACGCGCAGCGCCGCCGCAGCCATCGACTGTGAGAAACACATGATCGGCATCGTCACGACGACAACTTCACTTCATCACCGGCGCAGACGACGCAGCCGAGGGCGCATGCACCTGTCTCTTGCGTTTGTGTGTGCGTGCTGTGCGTTCTTGCGTGCGTACGTTCGCCTGCTGGTCCGTATCACCTATTCCGTATGAGATGCGAGGAGCCCGCTATGTACGCACGCGGCTGCTGTGCGTAGGTATCGTGTTGCGTAGAGGCTGCTGCTGCGTGCGTGCGTGCGTCGTCTGCCTGTAGCACGTGATCACACCGAGCAGACGCGTCGTCACAACCACCGTTTATAACACGAATAATAACAGCGACTAGAGTTCGCTTCTAGAGCCGTTCCCGTTGCCGTCCCCGTCCTACACTCATGCGCAGGTACGTATCACACGCACATATACACACGCGAGCGAGAGAGCGCCGTGGACATGCATAGATATAGTCAACGTCGGCGTCCTCGCTGGCGCCGCTGCGATCGCGGTTCGAGTCTGTCCGGTCTCAGAAACGCGCGAGCGCCTAAGCCACGTCTGCTGCGTGTGTCGGCAAGCAGATGGGCAAACAGGCGGTTAAAACCGACGGTCAAGCAGACGATCGGAGGTAAAAATACGGCTGTCGTCGACTACTACTATCACACGTACGCTCCGCCGCCGATCTGTCGCGTCTACTGATCAACGACGGCGAAAAAAATGCGGAGGTGCTTGCTACTGATTGACACGCGCGTGCAGCCTTCCTTCAGCGCTCGCTAGCCAGCGCTCTCTGGGGCGGCAAGGGCTAACCGGTCCCTTCACATTCCACGGATGGTCCCGCGACAGCGCCAGTGTAAAGTCCCTCCTCGCATGCATGGCCCGCGGGCACGCCGCTGCGCGCACGGGCTAGACTGCTCCCGGGCACCGCCGCTCGTTTCTCGTTGATCGGTCAGACAGCGGCGGTGTTCGTGCGGGGAGCTGGGGTAAGGTGTGTGTGTGTGTGTGTCCTTCTCGCCTTCTCGCCTCACTGGTCGCATGTAGCTTGTAGCGCGAATCGATTAGTGTGCACAGACACTTGGAACGTTGCAATGTATGTTATGGTAAAAGTCAAAAATTATGGTAAATAAACACGAAATGTATTTACTATCTATTACTATGTCTCGTTGTTTATGTGTTCTCTATATCGACTAATAATTCCATTCCACGTAAATGCCGTTCGATTGCTCTTTTGCAACGCGCAATCTCACCGCACCCACGCTGCTGTGCACAAATAACACACACGCACACGCACACGCGCACGCGCACACACGCGCACGCACACACACACACACACGCACGCACGCACACACACACACACACACATACCGCGCGCACACCACCGCGGCACTCTCTCTCAGCCACACACACACACAGCAACAACACACACACACACATACCACACACACACACACACACACACACACACACACATACACACACGCGTGTTTAAATACCATCATTTTATTAGCGAAACGTTCCAAGTGCCTGTGCCATTGGCAAGGGCAAGGCCAAATGGGCAAGGCCAATGGCAAGTAGCAGCCATTGGCGGATTCAGTAATAGACAAACGGGTGGGATCCATGGCATGGGGTTGGAGGAGAAGGTAAAAGCCACCAGCGAGGAGGGGTATAGCAGAAATATAGTAGCTCAAGTATACATAGGAGTTCGTGGGAATGTCCTACCAACAGAATTCGTGGGAATGTCCCACCAACAGGGTCCAGCCGCGCGCATGTTAGTGCGTTAAAAGTCAAATTTATTTATGCCCGTCTAAATTTATGCCCAAGTAAGTTGCGGTGAGGAGCTTGCAAGCTCATGTTGATATATATTTTACCAATGTAGGTACTGTTTTTAAATAAATAAATAAATAAATAAATGAAATTGTGTTTTGATTTTTGTTTCATAAATGGCCGCCTCGCGATTTTTCTCTCGTTTTCTAAAATGGATTCATGGACGGGGTGGAGAGGGCGTAGTCCTCGTGACCCCTGGCTTACCGGTGGGGTTGGGGAAAATCGTGAACTTGTTGTTTTTTATCGCTGCGATGCTGAATGATCTTTCGTTCTGTATAGGGTGAGTACTGTATTTCTGTACACCTGTATTTCTTTTTTTTCGCATAGGAAAATGTTACATATATAACTCCACTACTCTCTAGTACAGCTTTCGATCGGAGCCGTTTAAAGTCGGACAACGACACGAACACACAGCATACTTCTTCGCATGGCCGAGTTTAAAAAATGCGAGTGTCCATCTACGACTGAAGAATAGCTGACAACTGACGCGCAGACACGCGCTAGATCGGTTCCACTCCGTTTCAATCGTATCGTGTTTCGAGCAGAAAAGACATTCGGATGCGGGAAACGGACACAGGCGTGTGGAAGTCTAAGCGGTAGCGCGCTCTTGCGGTCATGCGTCGGTAGGTAGCAAGCGCCGGGGTGCACTGTCACACAATGGGAAGTTGGGAACGGGCTACGCATTTCCCTAGTCGCAGCGTTGGCAGCTTAAGTATTTCGGCACGCGGATGCCTTCCTAGAAAACTGGACGCATGGTGGAGCCACCTACCAGTGGATTTCGCGCCGTTGCGATGGCCAACCCTTACCGATCTAATGTTGCTTTTTTTTAATGAAAGCTGGTTGGAATATAAAACCCTATATCACTGCTGTCTAGTTTCAATCAAGACATAAAATATCCAGCACACTGCAGCCTCAAACCTGGGGAAAAAGCTAACGTGGGCCTCTGGATGCCATATAGTACGTCAATACGGGACATTTAGCCGCTGGACTGTTGTGAAATTCCCCCTTTATCCCCCCCACCCCGGGGGGGGGGCACTCACTTATTATGATATACGGTATGTGCCGCTGGGATGGCTATACATACTGTCAGGAGTTAATAATGACAAATTTGTCATTATTAACTCCTGATGTAACGTAGAAAAATAATCTAATAGGTGGGGATACATTTTACACTTCATTTAACGCTGATGCCGATTACGTACATTCCACCAACACCAATATACAACCCATTTTCCTAGTAGTTTTGTTGTTTTTCACAATCCACCGTCTTAGCGTAAACCAGCCATACCAACGAACCGATGTCACACGCACGCACACACAACACACGCACGCATGCTCGCACACCCACCTACACACACAACACACACACACACACACGCACGCACGCACAGTCACAAACAGCACACAACACACACCACACCACACACTCCACGTCACAGCAACAGCTCGCAAGGCCGCAACACACGACACGCACACACACACATACACACACACATACACACACAGCATCAGCACACACACACACACACCAACACACAGCACACTTACACAGCATAGCAGCAGCACACAGGCACACACACACCACGACCACCACAACACACACGACACGATAGCACACGCGCACACCCGCCACACACACACACACACAGCCGACAGCACACACACACCACACACACAGCACACACTGTGAGCACAACACTAATGTCAGAATGTAACATGGCGTACAATATAAAATATACTCAATATGCAAATAATGAACGGCTCTGTATATTAATGCTATTATCATACCCCCGTTTGCTTTCCATGGCGGCCCAAATATTACCAATAGGTATCAAAAGCGTAAAGATGTTAATAAAAAATGTCCGACTGCACATTGATTTTACCATCGCGAAATATAACATCCGATGTAAGACTAGCTTACTGCTTATCGAGGTGTAACACGGGGATACACTTGCTATGGTGGCGTCATTAATATATAGGACTATGCACACGCTGGATAAACTAAAACCATTGATTAGAAGGATTAATAATTATGAATTGAAAATGGCTTGTTAAATGTTGGACTGGAGGTTTTTTTACTTGTACACAGCAATCTGTTTCAAGCGTTTGACCATGTCTAATTCTAGTGTTCTTGTGCAGCATAGCTTGCAATGATATTATGGTGCCGTAACGTGTACACTGATAGTAGTACTAATTATAGACAGCACGATGCGTTATTGGCGTCAAAAAACATGTAACGCCATAATCGCATGCACTTAGAACCGTCGCAAGATATAATGATGGAATTGGCAAATGTAGAAAATCATTTTCTGGAAGAAATGGTGGCCTGAAAAGGACCGGTTGGTTTCACTGGTACATGCGCTGATTCCCATTTAATGGGCCTTGGCAGTCTTCTTTGGCAGCAGGACAGCCTGGATGTTGGGCAGGACACCTCCCTGGCTGATGGTGACTCCGGAGAGCAGCTTGTTCAATTCCTCGTCGTTGCGGATGGCCAGCTGCAGATGACGTGGGATAATTCTTGACTTCTTGTTGTCGCGAGCAGCGTTACCGGCCAACTCGAGCACCTCAGCGGTCAGGTACTCAACGACGGCAGCCAGGTAGACGGAGCTCCAGCGCCAACCTCTCGGCCATAGTTGCCCTTACGAAGATGACGATGGATACGTCCAACAGGGAACTGCAGTCCAGCGCGACTGCTTCTGCTCTTTCCCTTTGCTCTAACCTTTCCTCCTTTACCACGACCAGACATGTTGATGACAGAATGTATATAGCGACGAAAAAGATCGACAGTGTGTCGCTAAACTCTGCCAGGCCCTATTTATACATCCGATGAGGATTGTACCGGACTTCGCACCCACCAATAGACGAGCGCGAGATGCTTGTACTGGCGCGAACAAGTTTTCAACTGGCTAAACAGGTTGTGACGCGTATTTGGTTCCCGCTGCTTCTCGCTTGATGACACGGATAATGGGGTTTGAAAATGTCGGTTGCCCTTCTCATCCACCCGTCCCTATAAATAGGGCCGACGCGTCTACCGGTCTTACACATTCACTGACTGGTTTTACTGCAACGCAGATCTATCTAACACCATGCGCCAAAGCCAAGTGGAAAAGCCGTCAAGAAGGCTGGTAAGGCTCAGAAGAGGCCTACTGATGGCAAGAAGAGGAGGAAGAAGAGAAAGGAGAGCTACAGCATCTACATCTACAAGGTGTTGAAGCAGGTTACACCAGACACCCGGATCTCTAGCAAGGCGATGGGCATCATGAACAGCTTCGTCAACGACATCTTCGAGCGTATCGCCGCGAGTCTTCTCGTCTGGCGCACTACAACAAGCGTCAACTATCTCGAGCAGGGAGATCCAGACTGCTGTCCGTCTCATCCTTCCGGAGAGCTGGCCAAGCACGCAGTATCTGAGGGCACCAAGGCTGTCACAAGTACACCAGCTCCAAGTAGAGCCAACGCGCCGTACCAGTAAACCAACGCGGCCCTTTTTTTGCCACCATTTTCCCAGAAATGATTACTACATTTGCAAACCTGCTTCCATCATCAATCGTACTACGATAATAAAACCGATTACCCAACCCGTCGCTGTATCTATTATTGCTTACATTAATTACGGCTTCTGAGATCGCCTCAATCCAATACACTTGTGTTTTATAATCAAAGGGTTCTGGTCTTTAACACTCAGCAAGGATTTGGTATTTCGAATATCTTTCACCGTACTCACTCCCTATCTGTTTTCTCTGTTGGATGTATCACTACGCGATTAAGATAATTTGTGTTTTAAAGAACATAATTCTATATTCATCACACATTGTAATACCTTGATTCAAATTGCTATAAATAATAGCTATATATACCATCTATTAGGTTATTATTTCATCTTTACACCATTTATCCGTACTGAGTACACACACCGAAATTGTTTCCTTCTAATAGTGTAGTGTACTAGTAAGCAGTTTTATCCTTGACGTATATGTCGCTATGGTAATATCAGTAAATCACCACGTTTGTGATCGTCATATGTATATATATATAATATATATATAATTATATAGATATATCAAGAGTCCATAATAGAACATTCGATTC